GCTTCTAGCTGAAGAGGAAGTTAAAGAAAGATGATGGAAGTGGATAGGACACATGTTGCGAAAATCATCAAACTGAATCACGAAACAAGTGCTAACTTGGAATCCTAAAGGGAAACGGAAAAGAGGAAGACTAAAGAACACACTGCGTCGGAAGTTAGAAGCAAATATCAAAAGGATGAATAACAACTGAAAACTACTGGAAAGGATTGTCCTGGACAGAGTTTGATGGAGAATGCCAGTGGGTGGACTACGCTGCTATAGGAGAACTTCTTATTTGTCATGTCTTCCTTGTGTCATGCAGCAAATCGTAGTTTCCGGTTACACGTATCAGTTATTCCTCAGTTATAACAAACGTAAAGGGATTTTAGCGCCGATATTTAAACGACAAAGTTAATATCCAAGTACATTATAATCTGAAATGATAGAGAAAATTTGTAACTTAGGTGAATGCCTTTATTACAGGTTAACTATAAAAATACCAGAGAATTTCTAGAGGCACGGCATTCAGATCAATTGAAAATTAAGACATTGACCAAAATTAAGAACTCACAAGCATGAGATGAACGACCGTCACAAAACCAAACATCGACTAACAAAGACAACCAACGTGAGTCTAAAGGCAAATAAGGACGATTAATCACAAATCATGTCGCCGGAATGAACCTAAATAACACCTTGTGAAATAGCTAGGAAGGTAAGTTCTAAATGAAATAAGCACTTATGATGTCTATCTAAGAAACCTCAGTAATACCAACATAATTTTGATTAAATAATTGGCTATTCATTTATTTATTTATTTGAACACATAAATATTGGTACAAGAGGGCACCAAATATATATGCGCCACACAAAACAATGACAATGGGAACAGGAAAAAACGGAGGTAAGGAGCTTAAAAGAAAAAAAGGAGAACAATAACGACCAGATTAGTGTAAGGTAGTGTAATAATAATAATAATAATAATAATAATAATAATAATAATAATAATAATAATAATAATAATAATAATGGAAGAAACGGAAAGGTACAACCAGAAAGAATTATTTCAGTTAAGGAAGATACAACCACTTTTATGTAGAAAGTAAGAGAAGGTTACAGCAGGATCGCCATTGACTTCTATTCTGAGCCATATCTGATAACGTCTATAGCCACCGTGCTGCACCATATCTCGGGCCCCAGCAAGTGAGTCGTGAAGAACCAACACAAGCCAGCCCATTGCAGCTTTCGTTCATACCACGACACTATGTTATGCACTGACCACCTCTCCGCTTTTTACAACCAGTCCCAGAGTCGGAAAATAATGCACGACGTGAAATTCTCTGGGACGACATTAGTAGAACATGTCCAAGCCACCGAAGTCGGTGTTTCAAGATGGTGACACCAATCGGATTATCGTCACTCGGCCCGAACACACGATGCCGAACCTCTGCATTACTAACATGGTGTTGCTACTGAATGTCAGCAATCCTTCGAAGACAGCGATGATCAAACACAGAAGGTCGTCTAACATCCTAAACTCGGAGAGGCCAGATTTCACAAGCATAGAGCAAAACTGCTCTCACCGACGCGTTGTAGATCCGACCCTTCACAGCCAGACTGACATCACGAAGGCGCCAAAGATGGCCCAGATTGGCATAAGCCGCTCTGGCTTTCACTATACGTGCATTGATCTCATCACTCACACCCCCACCAGCACTTATGCAGCTACCTAGATACACGAACTTCTCGACTACTTCTATCTGCTCACCATCCAGGGTGAGTACAGGATTAGAATCCTGCCAGTCTTGTAAAAGTACTTTGCACTTCGAATGTGCAAAGCACATACCATAACTACGGACACTAATTGCCAACTGATTAAGTGCGGATTGCATGGCTTGGGCATTATCGCTCAGTAAGACAATATCATCTGCATACTCAAGGTCGAGAAGTCTTTCTCCAGGCAACAGGTCCACACCACCATTACTTACATTCATCAGAGCTGTTTCCAGAATGTCATCGATGGCAAAGTTGAAGAGGAATGGTGAGATTGGGCAACATTGCCTAACCCCTCTGCTTGAATGGAACAATGGAGAAAGGTGGTTGTATACCCTCACTCTACCTGAGGTGTTTGTATATAGGGCCTTTAGGATGTTAATAAACTTCTCAGGCACACCCTTCGTCAATAGACAATCACAGAGAACAGTCCTGTCTAACGAATCGAAGGCAGCCCTGATGTCAAGAAACACTATGATTGTTGGCCTGTGATAAGTATGACAATGTTCTAACGTTTGGTGGAGGGCGAAGAAATGATCAATACATCCTCAACCAGAACGAAAACCGACCTGCTCCTCGCGAGTCAATCTTTCTCGGGTTTCGAACAACCTACGAAGCATGACAGAAGCCAATAGTTCGGACGCAATCGGAAGTAGACTTGTCCCTTGATAGTTGCTACAGGAACTACGTGAACCGTTTTTAAAGATAGGGACAACCATCGATTCATTCCATGACGTCGGTACACTCTAGTTCCTAGACCTTTGGAAAAAACAACATCGTCAGTTCCTCAGTCAGAAAGTCACCACCATCTTTAAAAGGCGCCGGAGGTAAGTCATCTGGACCAGGTGATTTGTAGCGTTTCAAGAGTTGGAGTTCATTGCGGACTTCCGCCTCATTTGGTCGATCAGTCGTCACCGGCCATGGAGGGAAAGACAGTCCAACCGATGTCGCCGGAGCAGCAGGCCAGTTGAACTGTCCTTCGAAGAATTCTGCCCATCTTCCAAGACGTCGATGGAGGTCGGTGATTGGCATCACGTCATCCTTACAGATTGTTTCGTTCACACCAGACTTCTTGTTGTCAGTGGCTTGGATGAGTTGGAAGAGCTTCCAGTAGTTACCAGATGCAACTGCTGTTTCCAGCTCATTAGCACGCTCCAACCACCAGGCTTCTCGGTCCTTGCGCAAGATTTGCCCGATTTTGTTACGTAACAGTCGTCGTTTGTGGTCAAACGCACAGTCACCCGGAGTAAACCGACGGGCTTCGATGAGTTGTACGGAGCCTGAAGAAACCCGGTGCTTATAAGCGGGACGTTTCGCGAAGCCGCAAACGGCTTTACTCGCCATTTTGATGGCTTCATGAAGTTGCAACCAATGCTCATCTATACTTTTCGGTAGAATGGTAGCTAGCCTAGAAGCTAGCTCGATTCGATACTTACTTGCAACAGAAGTTGCAACCAACTTAATGACATCAATCCTTTGGTGGCGGTCATTTCGTTGGCCACTGAAAAGTAAGGTAAGATTGGCGCAGACCAGAGCATGATCAGAGTCCAGATAGGTACTCCAAAAGGAGAGGAAGTCTTTTACACAACCACGCCAGCAGTAGCTGATCGCGATGTGAACAATCTGAGTTCAGACTTGAGATGCAGAGGGAGGACGCCAGGTGGCACATCGGCGATGACTGTGCCGAAAGTTAGTGCTAGCCAGAAACAGGTTGTGGTCTGTGCATAGTTGCAGTAGACGGTCCTCGTTATCTATCCTGCGGTCAACAAGTCCCCATCGGCCACCTAATCGATTCTCTTCTGTGCCTAGACGCCCGAGCTGAGCATTCAAGTCTCCGGCTAGTACTACAATATCCGTCGAACGCACTTTCCGGAGAAGAACAGTTAACTGCTGGTAGAATTCATCCTTGATTGCATCCGAGCTGCAATCTGTCAGGGCATAAGCGGAGGTGACGAAAATACATCGTTTCTCATGCCGATTTCTTCTCACTTTGATGAAACTCTCTAATCTAACAGCACATAACCAATTGTTAATGGGAATTCAATCGATTAGTGCTACCTCAGCTCTAGCGCTTAGTGCGACACCAACGCCAGCAAGACCAGATGAAGATGCCATAGGGTCCCCGGATAAACGAACGTAAAACAAGCTTTTTGAAGCGACAGATGGAGAGGGGATTTGTAGTACTTCACTAAAGTCTTGAATACAGGCTTTGTATAGACAACAAACGTCGATATTAAGACTTTCCAAAGACATAGCCAGCCCTATCTGTTGTCCAACCTGCATAAGTGTGCGGACGTTGAAGGCAGCTAGTTTGTATGTTGCATGTCGTTTCATAAAAACTGCTTCAGTATTCGTATTTGGTGGTAGCATACAATTTTCAACTAGGCAGTGACTCGAAAACGTTTAGATAGAACCCAGTTTACACCATAGGCGACCTGCTGTATAAGTCGAAAAATAAGGATACATAAAGTGGGAATAAAAGAGAGTGAATAAATGACGTAGTAAATAATAATAATAACAATAATAATGTGAATTTTTTGACTGTAAATCGAAGCGAGAATAGAATTTTCAGTAAATATCGTCATTTTCATTTTATTTGTGTGAGGGTTGTGATACTGCCGGGTGCCCAGACCAAAGCAGATGGTTTTTTTAGGAGGCCACACCCCGAGCCTTTGACCTAGAAGTCTAACTCACAAGACAATGGACATCATGAGGAGATGCAGTCCCATGGTAGCCTGTGACCAACGATTGATTCATGCGCCATTTGTTCCTGTAGGATACTGGAGCCCATGTGCACCATTAGTTTGGGATCCGGTTAAAGCGCCGGACATTTGCTTTTCTTCCTCTCATTTTTGTAGACAACGCCCCGCCACGAGAAGGCAGTGAGTAGGACTTCCCTGGCAGAGGCTCTATACGCGTGGCCGTGTGAGAGTATTTCGAGAGGGAGAACGGGTTCACTCCACTCTTGGCCATACCAGGGCATTTGGAGGCGTATTTGAAATATTTGCATCATTTTCAATTATCACAGTTCAACTTATTTATTGTGATCATGAACCGATTGATGTTAGACCACCATCTAGAACCTGAAAGTACTGGACTGCCATACCAGAGTATTTGGGCGCTGGCTTACGTAATGTTGTTATGTAAAAGAAGTACATAAGTGCAACTATCATTTTATCATTAAATATTTTGCAAACAAGTAGAAATATTTTACAAGAAAACAAACACTTAGTAATTGAATGACTTACATATAAATAATTCAGCCATTCCACAACTTTGTTCTATTGTTAGCCAATCAGTTCCTAAAGTTAGAATGAGCACAACAAAAGACTTAAAACAGTTTGGTTGATCATAATGAAAATTTGTCTTTATACGATTTATCCAATTTTAGTTTACTGGTTTAATGCATTAAACTTCCGTTCAACCTAGTAGGTCACAGGTTCAAAATCCTCTTTACCTACCTCAGTTTAAGAAATGGTATAGCTCGAAGCCGAATATAAAGTAAATTGGATACATAAATATCTGACTAAATACTTGGAAAAATAATATCAGTTAGTCATAAACAATATAGAATGTGACCATTATATGCATCGGTTCAAGCTGCTACACTTTATCAGGATATTTGGATGAAAATATCAAGACAAATGTGAGAGTAATGGAAGTAGTAACTGTTATGACCTTGGATGTCTGACTTTTCTATCACACGAATTTATCTACCAATCCGAATACGATTTATACGAATCTCCACACTAGGCCAACTAATGACGTTCAACCGGTGTGGGCAGTTTAGCGTCCTTATTGGTCCTATGTCCTCCGAGCCCTTCCACTTGAGTCCAGAACACAATACCAGCTTCGAATCAGAGCAGATCGTTTATTTCAAACATACTCTGTTTATATATCAACCAGACAAACCACAACGTACCATAAATTAGAAAATAACATGTGTACACAAATAAGCCAAAAAGTGGCTGTGAACGCGAGAGATAGTAATTAATAGACTGAACATAGATTAAGAACCGTAAATCGTATAATAATAAATTATAGGTCAAAATAAAGCTTATAATAGGAGGAATATAAATATACGTAATGTAATTGTTGAATAATTATACAATAAGAATATTTATAGAATATTAGTCTATTAACAGTCTTCAGAAGTTACCTATAACTTAATCTTCACTGGGTTATAACAGTAACAGCATCAGTGATAGTAGAAAACATTAGACATGGACAGCATGATTCGAGAAGACAGAATGAACTAGTAATATGAGATCGTTTTAAAATTTAGGACCTAAGGGAAGACGAAGAGTGAATTTATGTGTGTCATTGTGACATTATGACGCCTTCCACTCAACATCAACTACTGAGTGCGGTCACTGAACAAAAAGCAGACAGGTAGTCTGCACCTGTCAACACAGCTTAGTTCAGCGGTCAATCATGGACTGATTCCACTTATTAGTTTTACCGCACCTAACTTGATAAATGATATATTTCAGTGAAATTTTGCTGATTCATGCACTAAGCGGTAACCCACACTTATCGAGATCCCCAAGAATATTTTACTCTGATCTCTGAACATTGTTAAGTGAGACAGGGTTTATACATTTGAGACTCACTGGTTGAGAACAGAGTGTGTAATGGACCAGAATTGGCTTGGGATAATCAGTATATTGTTGAACACAAAATTACAGAATTATTTCGCAAAATGTGAAAACCATACACTCAATAGTTCATTTGCAAATCTTGCATCAAATGTTCTATACATCCTTCATGATTCTTCCAATCCTCAATCCCTTAATGTTTCCCTTTCTGTTTTCTTCATTTCAATCTTCTCAACCTTCTGCTGACAGGTATTCCATTTCTGATTGGTGTTATATACTATTTATGTCTTAGTAAATATCACATACATGTCGACTGTAGAAAATGTTTTCATATTATCCAATTAAAAACAACAAGTAAGCATGTTTATTCGAAGCAAATGATATACAAACAGAAGATATTCAAATATTTTAAGAAATTTCATATAGGGAGAAATTGATTTTAGAAAAAGATTATCGATCCTATCAATCAAATGGACATGTTCATAGTGAAGACGTAAAAACAGTAAGAAATGTTGTGCTAGACAAAAGTGTGTTTCAATGAGAAATAGTGAAAAACAAACAAACAACCTAAATAAAAATCAATTGAGAAAGCTTTTACGTGAATTCAATGATTTAATGTAACATCTCGATCAGTAATTTTTAAACACGCCTATTTCGAGCTACACGGTATGTATGAAAGGCACAGTTATACTACTTAATCGGTTTGACAAACCGATAAAGTATCAGAAGGCGTTTCGTGCAGATTGTAGTAATTTCGATAGTTCAGATCATGAGTCAATTGAAGCCAGACCACCATGGGAAACCTGGAAGCACTGGACGGCCGTTTCATCCTATCGTGGGACTCCTTTTAGTGGCCCGTGGATCTGACTCCTATTTAGATCGTATAAATGTTTGCTATCGCCTTTTCTCGTATATCATCGTCGACTTAAATCACGTTAGTCAATAACGGAATTTAGATAAGTCAATTAACGAGAATGGCCTTTGAATACATATATTTTGTATGCAAAGTGGATGTAATAGAACAGAGAAAAATGACGCGCAGGGAAGATGGCTGGGAAGCCAACTCCCTCTTAAGCCAGGCATTACTCAATATTTATAGGCAGACAAAATAAACCACAAACATGTGATGAGTCATGGGACATGAAGTGTACACACATATACGCTCATATAAAAACAGTCAAGGCTAATAAGCGAATAATTGACAAGGTCAAAATATGACTTAAGTAGAATGAATAGAATGGAATGTTCGAAAACTAGAATAAGATATATTATGAGCTAAAACTTATGACTAACACTACATCCTCAGCAATCCGCATCCACGACCCCGCCTTGTGGGATTCTAACCCAGGACCTATGAGTCTCGCGCGCGAGCGTTTAACCACTGAGCCGGTATCCAACGTTGTTAATGTCTAGATTCAACTAATCCAGGAAATTGAGCGACACATCCACCATTATCATCAGTGAGTTATTATCTCACAACTGGCCCATTTGAACTCCACTGGTCACTGCTTCCCACTAGAACTCCACGATATACCTCTTGAAGCCAGTCACTAGTGAGCATATGTTGATTAGTATCAGAAGGGGTTTTGTGAAGATTGTATTAATTTCAATAGTTGAGATCATGAGTCGATTGAAACGGTCGTCGAGTGCTTCCAGGTTTTCCATGGTGGTTTAGCTTCAATTGACTCATGATGTCAACTATTGAAACCGACAAATATGACTTTTTGAAATGACACTCCAGTGACAATACTATTTTTCCAAAAGATTTTTGTCGATTGGAATTGCGAGGGGATATAAGACAATAAGCTATGCGAATCCAACCACAGTGCTTGTCTAAGTTGACATGCCTTGTCAAGAACAAACTGTAGGGAGGAATTGTAAACAAGAGAACTTATTGAGGGAAGTCGATTATACACCTAGTTAATAATTTTAACTTACATTCCTGTATATGCACAAGCATATCAATCAACCGGAAATAAGTTCCACTCCCAATCAGAACCAAGCAGAATTCATTATTTCCACTATCTTAGTAAGCTATGATGGATGGCGTGTTTCGTTCTGTGTATATTTTTGCTGGCTTTTTAGTGTTGCTAAAATATTCGGTGTTTCAGTCAAAATGCAGAGATTCCATCATTTATGTAACGTTTTAAATGTTTGAGGTAATTTTTGACAACATTCAGTTATAACCTTAGCAAATTCTTCACCAACTATCTGTTCGGAATAACTCCCAGTGGTTACCACAATTTGTAGCTGCTCGATTATTCAGTCTTCGAAATGGTGAATCATTTGTTAAAAATTACCTATTGCTAGGATGTTTGTTCAACACCTTGGAGGAAAATATAACATATCGGTCAACATTATACCTCATAGGAAACATGGATTAACAACCGGTGTACTCTGATCTATGTTTTGAAAACTAGAACAGTTATTTACCCTTTTGCTCTCTGGCTATGATATTTCGGTGTTCTCTTGAGACCATGACACTGAACATATTTCACATAATGATATCGAATGTGTATATTTTACTTATTTAGTGCGTCCAAGTCGTCAATGAATTTTAGATACTGTATTCAACAGTAAACTTCTGCAAGAGACCGACAGCATCTTGGACTTCATCCCAGGTTGTCAGGTGCATGGATCCCTAATCCTTGAGAACACATCACCAGCATCTATAAAGACTGGACACTCAGGATTGGTTTAACTCGATAGTACAGAGTTATCCGTATTACGATAGAGGTCAACAAACTAGTTGTTTTTCTTCATATTTCTCAGCAACCTTTAAAAAGCAATACGTTGTAAAAGGACACTTGGAAGCAGTTAGAAAATGGCAGACCGAAGCAACACTAGTTTCAGCTGGAAAAAAGCTTACGCTAGTTTTTGATATCTATGAAATTTACTTCAAATAGAAAGGACTAGTACTAAGTCACACAAAACACGAAAGCATGGTAGGAAGTATGCACTGACATGACAGTTGGAAGCCGAGAAAATACTCAATCTAGTAGGGAAAATTATCCCCAAAATTTAACATGTCATATAAGTAACAAAATTTTGATACGCTGAAACACCAAATATTATAACACTAAAAAGTCAGTGAAAAAGTACATAGGATGAAAAGCGCCATCCATCATGGTTTACCGCGATGGTAGAAATGGTGAATTCTGTTAGATTCTGATTGGTGGTTAGCTTGTGTGACAAAGTTGCGAGTGAGATTTGAGTTTACCTTTGGTTCAATTTACGTATCTATTTTTCAGGTTTCATAAATTAAAAATATCGTAGTTATTTATCAGCTTTTTCAGTCACTTCACTAGTAAAAGCAAGTGTATAAAAAGCACGTGTATCTCAATTGGAAGTCGCGGACCGTAACAACAGAAAATGATTAAATATCACTATTTGTGTAAAATTATAGTATAGCTTGACTAGAACATCACAAAAATAGATTTCATACAGATAAAAGGCATAATTTGAGGTTTATGAAGGGAAAAAGTGTAAATCAATAAAGTAATTCCCAATGAATTCCATAACTTTTCAGAGTTCATCAAGGGATATACGATGGGTCATTAAACTTATCGGAATAAATGTGCATCTTTTGAACAAGTGAAATCGCTACTTCTGATTTCCCATCTGCTTACATAAATCTGTCTACCTTAGCAATAGACACGTACTTTGAGCAACATATAAAACGAAGAATAATAGTACGAATAATAATCTTTGTCCTTGTAATATGAATTTACATTATAGTCATCAATCATTCGAGAGACAGGAAGTTAAAGTAAAGATTTTTTGAAAAGCCATCAGTCATATGATCGACAGCTTCAGTGAATTATGTTATAACTTGTGACCGCCCATTAGACAGCAGTGACTTATCGATCGGATCAATAATGTGTAAACCCGTATGAGCAGTCTAGAGTCCTGATTGGTCCTGCTTTCCGTCTAGCCCAGCCAGTTAAGTTCAAAACACAAATCCGAGCCTCTGCGATATGAAACATGTATTTCGATTATACTCGGTTTATATATCAATCAAACAGACCACAACGTACCGTAAAGTAGAAAATAACATTCGTACAAAATTTGGCTAAATGTGGGAGGCAGTGACTAATAGACAGGGAATAATTCAAGAATGGTAAGACGTATAATAATGGTTCATAAGTCAAAATAAAGCTTATAATGAGAGGAATATGAATATGAATAGTTTAGTTATTTAACAATTATACAATAAAAATATACGTTTAGTATTGGTCCATGATGGATCCCAAAAATTACCACTCATTATTCTTATCGGGACATAACAGATTACCGGACATTATTATAAGTAAAACTAATGTATAAGGACGAGGCGGTCAAAATTCAGAATACGATTTTTAGGTTATTGTGTGAAATTAAAATATCACGTATAACGAGTATTAAAAATACCTTTGTATGCTGATCAAAACATTTCAAATGATAGTGGAAAATTGTTTTTTTGTCACCATTGAGTAAAACTGATAGTGCTAAATATATCAAATGCTAAATTCTGTCTTTGTAGAATATGTATAACAGACAAATTGACGCTATTCCTAAACACTTAACAAACAAAACCTTTACTTAGTGCCCCTATATTTTATTAACGAACTGATCAGATAACGTCACTCGGAGATTTTGCGCGTAATCCGCTCATCCATATGACTGCATGCCACTTCCGCATCATACCTGATATCATTTTGCGACGGAAAATCTAATCCTAAGAATGATGTGGCGATTCTGAAAGATCTCTTTGTTTTTCTAAGGGTTCGAGAAGACGAATAACCTATGTATACACATAAGGGACGACCTTATGTCGTTGTTTTTTTAATTGGTAGGCAGAGTAAACAATGGAAGACGTTAAACAATCCATTAATTATGTAAAGCTGTTCACACTTCTCAATATTATGGGCTTTTTTCCCCGCAAACTATCCACCTGTAAGAGATGTTCTCCAATTGGCTAGGAAATGACTGAGACTTTGTAGCAATGCTATGAACCTTGGAAAAAAGTTTTAATCTATGTAGCATAAAAAGAATAGTATTTAACACATCATATGTAACTTTCTAGATGGCCAAAAATTCAGAGTCAGAACACTGACTCAACGACTTATACGAACCTAGTTAAACAAACAGACAATCAGGCAGCAATACTAGCTAACACAAGTTCATAATAAACAGACTGTAAGACTGGTATTTCGCTACAAAGCTCGTATTATTAATATAAAAATAATACATCGGTATAAATAGTTTGTAACTGGTCTTAGAAAACATTAAACATAATAACAAAATAAAAATTAAGGTAGACAATAAAATAAATTGCAAGTTAATTGTGAAGAATAAGAATTTTAGTCCGACAATAGGATGATGTCACATAAAATTAGGATTTCTAATTGTAAAACTGAGAACAAGGAGTTAACAGTTACTCCTAATAACCACGACTCAGCGTCTTGCAAAATGCATGATATTTACTAACTGATGATCCTCACTTCTGGTTATTGAAGTCGAAACAAGATTTCACAAATTCAATGAAAACAGACCATACGAGCTGGTGGTATATGAAAGTGGTGGAAATTATTTTTGAGTGCAAATCAAATCATCCAAAAACATCCATTTTGATGGATTGAACGTATGTTATATGTACTATTCAAGTAGGAGCTAAAAAGGCAAAAACATAGTACTATTAGAAATCGCTACATAAAGCGAAGAGACGATGCATCCGTAATGTGGTGATAAGGAATAAAATGAAATTGTGTTACGGTTATAACTATTAGTTGCGTCAAGACTTTCTAGATGAGATCTTTAAAATTATGCGATTAGATCGATTGATATGTTAAAAAACATGGAACATCCTAAAAAAGAGTAATCATATCAAAGGTTATTCACTAGACGAACATAAATTCACTTGGTATTATTTGCTTGTATCTTCTTATTGTTGTTAAGGACTGCAATTGATCAGTCACTTGTTGGCACATATGCATCATGTGCGGACTGCCTCGATATTGCGTTGTCACAAGCTTTACAAGCAAAGATGGATAGTAGCTAGCAGTGGACGAGACGCGCGTCCTGAATTCCACTGCTAGCCACCGTGCATCTTTGCTTATAAAACGAACATATAGTCTAAAAACAATTATCATAGCTAACTATCAGCAAACTACAAGAAAACAAACCTCTATCGGGGAATAGCTCTTTCATCAGTTCAGACATTTCCCAGAACCCAATACGAAGTACAGCAGATTTGGTGTTATCTCCTAGCTTTAGACCATCACATATACCTGCAGCGATTGCTACAACATGTTTGATACCGCCACATAACTCAACTCCAACATCATCCTGTGTAATCACCATTCTTAAGTAATCTGTCTACATTGAGACAACAAAAGTAAAACACACAACAAGGCTCAATAAGTATTATTGCATAAGAAGGAATAATGCAACAGATAATGCTACATAAAGCCCATTAACTCAAATAGTGGCATCAAGCATCATTGAAAATGTGAGTGCATACAGCACTACCTGGTTACCCAAACTGAATTAGGTTAAAGAGGATTCAAATCCACCAATTGGTTTATTTATTTCAATACATAGATATTGGTACAAAGAAGCACCAAATACACACAAATCTCATTCGAAATATGTGAGGGCTGTGATACTGTCCTGGTGCCCAAACCGAAGCAGGTGGTTTTCTTAGGGAGCCACACCCCGAGTCTTCGACCTGAAGGTCTGATCCACAAGGCAGTGCAGCATCGTAAGGAGATGCAGTCCCATGGTAGCCGGTGACCAACAATTGGTTCATACGCCATTTGTTCCCGCAGGATACTGGAGCCCATGTGCACCATTGGTTTGGAATCTGGTTAAAGCGCCGGACATTCGCTTTTCGTCCTCTCATTTTCGTGAACAACGCCCCCGACACGAGAAGGCAGTGAGTAGGACTTCCCTGGCAGGGGCTATATACGCGTGGCCATGTGAGAGCAGACTCTCCCCACTCTCGGCTGTACCAGGGCACTTTGGGGCTGTATGCATTTTGTTTGTGACAATTGTCGCACTGATTGTGATTAACGAAGATGGAAAATACAGTTCCATTTGCTCACAGATACTCATGAAACGAAATATCTCTAGTCTCATATTTTATTTACTAATGACATTCAACAACCAACGTTCTGAGTAGAATATAATAAATATACGACCATCAGAAAATTAGGTCAAATTTCATATCATTTATACTTATAATTACAATATTTTAAAGGCTAATTATACTTTGGACAGCATAACTATCAATAGTAAACTTATTAACAAATAAATAACTCTTGTACATTTAATTATGGAAGCATTTGATGTGAATATGGTTGTTTGTTCTTCTGTAACATAATAAAATATTCATTTGTAGATTTCTGCATTAATACATCGATAGTGTTAGAAAAAAATTATTTCTGTAGTTCAATTCACCAATCGAAAGAAATTTTTTGTCAGTATGAGGTTGTAGAGATCGTTAAATTGGATTGAAATCACGGACCAATCTAAGTAAGACCACCATTGAAAAGCTTGGATGCCACCTCAGTGGTCTGGAGGTTAAGCGTTCGTGTGCAAGACCAGAAGTCCTGGGTTCGACTCTCACATATGAGGTCGTGGATGCGCACTGCCGAGGGGTCCACCGCCAGGATAAAAAGGGATTTCCAGTGCTTTTAGGTTTTGGTGGTGATTATTTGAACAAACAAATTTAGTTTATAGCAGTTAAACGAAGCCTTTTTTATTTTATTTTATTTGGACACATGAATATTGGTACAAGAGAGCGCCAATATATATGCGCCACACAAAACAATGACAATGGGAACAGGAAAAAACGGAGGTAAGGAGCTTAAAAGAAAAAAAGGAGAACAATAACGACCAGATTAGTGTAAGGTAGTGTAATAATAATAATAATAATAATGGAAGAAACGGAAAGGTACAACCAGAAAGAATTATTTCAGTTAAGGAAGATACAACCACTTTTATGTAGAAAGTAAGAGAAGGTTACAGCAGGATCGCCATTGACTTCTATTCTGAGCCATATCTGATAACGTCTATAGCCACCGTGCTGCACCATATCTCGGGCCCCAGCAAGTGAGTCGTGAAGAACCAACACAAGCCAGCCCATTGCAGCTTTCGTTCATACCACGACACTATGTTATACACTGACCACCTCTCCGCTTTTTACAACCAGTCCCAGAGTCGGAAAATAATGCACGACGTGAAATTCTCTGGGACGACATTAGTAGAACATGTCCAAGCCACCGAAGTCGGTGTTTCAAAATGGTGACACAAATCGGATTATCGTCACTCGGCCCGAACACACGATGCCGAACCTCTGCATTACTAACATGATGTTGCCATGGAATGTCAGCAATCCTTCGAAGACAGCGATGATCAAACACAGAAGGTCGTCTAACATCCTCAACTCGGAAAGGCCAGGTTTCACAAGCATAGAGCAAAACTGCTCTCACCGACGCGTTGTAGATCCGATCTTTTACAGCCAGACTGACATCACGAAGGCGCCAAAGATGGCCCAGATTAGCATAAGTAGCTCTGACTTTCACTATGCGTGCATTGATCTCATCACTCACACCCCCACCAGCACTTATGCAGCTACCCAGATACACGAACTTCTCGACTACGTCTATCTGCTCACCATCCAGGGTGAGTACAGGATTAGAATCCTGCCAGTCTTGTAAAAGTACTTTGCACTTCGAATGTGCAAAGCACATACCATAACTACGGACACTAATTGCCAACTGATTAAGTGCGGATTGCATGGCTTGGGCATTATCGCTCAGTAAGACAATATCGTCCGCATACTCAAGGTCGAGAAGTCTTTCTCCAGACAACGAAGCCTTAAACATCATGCTTCGACACCTTATAGGATTAGGTTCTTAATAATTAAATAAAATGCTTACAGAAACTATAATTAGTCCACAAGCTAAAAAAAATCAACCAAAACTCTTAATTTGCTTATTGAGTTTAGGATAGCAATCAATTTTCTCTGTGAAATATCATAATACCTGAAGTAATCGTTTTACTTCACTTCCATGATCGTAATTTTTAGCACCAATAGTTACTTCGGTGAACTGTTGTTCAGCTATTTCTATAGCTGTTGTAGCTCCACTGACAACAACACAACTTTTACCAGTTTGCTCACGAATCATATCACTCACTAGTTTGACTCGATTTTCTTCTGAATACAAAACAAGACCCTAAATTCGATTAAAAAAAAGAAATAACGAGAAATTATGAGAAAAAAAGCTATTTATGGGAGAGAGTATTGTATCGCAAAATAAATCCATTCAATTAGACTTTTTGCATTTCACCTTTTTGTACTACATGAATAGTGGATCTATATAAGTATTATGAGATGCTATAAGCTGTAATCTAAAACTAGTTGTCCAAGTGTGCAAAAAACTATTTACAATGCGAGTTTAACTAGCTATTAGATTAAAATATTGACATAATCAACCTAAGATTAATGAAAGCTCATTTACCAAAAATAATTATTTCAGTTAAGCCGGATTAACAATAAAAATACAATTACCTAATGTCGTAACTAATGATTTAACAACAATATTCTCAAAAGCCATAAAGTTCGGGCAGACAAATGTTAGGTGTTTGAAGCTTGTGAGTAGGAAACCCTGAACCTAGATTCCACACTAGTTGGTACCAGTTAGTAATATATGCATGCAATTTCGAAGGAATTGATGCGTCAACCAGAGGAATTTAAACTAACATCACCCAGCTTCACAGTTTGAGACATCGTTCCGAAAATTACCCTTGTGAAGGACCAAGATATTTACAACTTGTTGGTTATTGATCAATGTCATGTTTCGCTAATCCCTCAGTGATGATAGAATTCCGTCGACGAAGTTGCATGTCGTCACTAGTCTAAGTGAATTGATATCTTATGCACCATGATGAGATGTTACATGGCTGGAGTTAGTAGGTAGGAAATCCTGGATCTGGGTTTTTACTAGTTGTTAATCTTCTATAAGGCGTTTCAGCTGAGCGCATGAGACGTCAACTCACTTAAACTAGTAGTTACATGCAAATTAATTGACAGGATCCGAACAGAACTGAACAATTAAAAAACAAAACCGATTACTACCCGGTGATCAATTAATTGCCAATAGACAGACAAAAAATATGAAGCGTCGAACAATAACCATTTGCTCTAAGCTAATTTCTGTGGAACAAATTTGAAACAGAAAGTACTAAAGTCTTCCATAGCAAAAACTAATAAGCGAAAATCAAAATGGATAATTGAATAATATACTGCAGCAAAGTACTGATACTGATTTTGAATTAAAAACTTCGGAATTAATATGTTTCACACTAAAACTTTGAAATATTAGTTCTCTTTCCTGACCTAATAAGTACATGTATATTTTAAAAACTTTTTGTTGCAGTGAGTATTTTCGAAGATTTTCGACCATCAGCAACAGTTACTTTTACAGTCGTACAGGAATTCTCGGAGCTGTGAAACGTTTAAAAATCTCCATAGACCTTGAACAACAATAGGTCGGTCAAAATATTAGACATAATCTTTATCATACCGCAATACACATTGGTACAAAAACCAATCTTAAAAAGACCCAAAATCTCAAACAATGCAATGACACATAGTGAAAACCAAGATTCATGTTGGATAATAAACTTAACGGTATACTAGCAAAACGTACCGATACGTCTTTTAGGCCTGAAAGATAGTGGTTCGAAATAAATGTAAATAGAATTTATACAGCAAGAAATGGAAATGTACAGAAGATAGACTACCAGGAAGTTTAGATGGAAATAAATAGTTCTAAGAAATCAAAAAGTCTCAAGGTTCTTATTTAGTAGGTAATCTTTGGTTCGTCGGACGATCTGGACTATTTTAACGATTTTTAGATATTTAAATCTGTGTACATGTCACCCAGTTAATGTGACCACTTGAGCAACTAAATTCTAGATAAAGTGTCATGAAAAAAACTAAATATCAACATAATATTTTAATGCTTCATTATAGCGTAAACATAAAGATTAACGTTTATACCTAGAACAACATTGATCGTGAACCAAGCAAGAAAATCAATAATATTGCCTGAAACTCACTTTACAGAAAGAGACGAAGTAGGCATTTTCTTTGACATGCCCATTCATTTGTTTTATTAGCCACTGTACATATCGAGATGGATAAGCAACTACTATGATATCAGCATCTGAAACAACTTCTTTGATATTACTGTTTGCTACGACATTAGTAGGAATAGTGATGCATGGCAAATATACTGGGTTTATATGATCGTTATTGATATAATCAACCAAATTTCGGTCATTGTGAGTTTCATCACGTACATACATAGCGATCTAAAAGCCATTTGAATATCGTAATATTCTGTCAAACTCACCTTACTACAAAACTCATTTGAAGACGCGACATTATCGGCTATAACTTTAGCAATAGCTGTGCTCCAGGCACCACATCCCAAAACAACAACTTGCTTCATCGGGACGGCAAAAAAAATTCGCTAAAAGCCGCCCGCCGTTTCGTTTGAACGTCCTTGAACGACCAGATATGAGGCGGCCATTTCGTAATTCAATTGCTCCGAAGTCAAGTTACAGGTTCTCACGCGCATGTTGCATGTTGTCGAGGGTTTTGAATGTCGTTATTTACCAGCTATTACCAAAAATTTCTCCGTCACATAACAATTTTTGTAATGTTTGTGCTTTTTACATAGCTTTAACTTCAGTTTATTGGTAGTTTGACGTGTTTGTTGCTCACAACCTGAATGAAAGTTTATTCAGCCTAATGTGATTATTCGTAACAACACAAACTGAACTAAGTGAAAATCAGCATTTATCAAGTCAAAAATAGACCATGGTCATCTTTTCAAACAAAAATAAGCTCGTAAACCTTTTACATATGACTCACCTCTCATTCTAAGTATTGTCGTTTCTGACTGAACTGAAATATTATTATGTAACGTATCTGAGGAAGAAAAATGACATGAGTAGCGATTGACGTTGATAGCCATTTCTGCTTGCTTTATGAGCATATATGGGAACTGTGTATAACAATACTGTAAGTGCTACATTAATTAGTCACGTATTCTTGATAAGTAAAGTTGAGTGTGATTCCCTGTGCATAGTGTAAGGCCAGTGAAATGTCACTAGGCCCCAGTCAAATCATCAGAGAGTCGGATCACTGAATATCAAACCGATCATCGATCCCTGTCAAGGTAAATGACGACCAATGCGCATTATTTAATCGTACACAATGGACTGGCCCATTCGGTAGTGGTCTTACTATCACTTGTATCTACTTTAACTAATATGATTTTTTAACTATGTTCTATGTGTTGTCCAGTCTTCAAAGCATATATAGTATTTTGATACGTCAATGAGGTATTCCACGTAAGCTGATGACCACTATATATGACTTCGACGTTAACTGGTTCGTCAAACCATTCCCGTTGTAGCGGTAAATAAATCCCCAAAATAAGTTGCTCCGTAAGCTTTCGACATTGGATGCTGACCACATGTTTTAATGGACTCACATAGCTGAAGGCGCTCAGTCATGCATCCGCACCAGATCACGAGTGGGAACGCCGTGCTCAACATCTACTGCAATCGCTAGCCAGATTAGATCAGACGATTCTCGATATACTGATATTACATCAAATATATCTTCATTTCTCCTCGATTCTGTCTTTTGGTTTCTTCTGGTGGGTACGAGTTATATTAGGTGTTACTGGTTAAAGTGTTGTCAAACACTGAATACCTGTGTGATCTTCACTGTCTTAATTCGGTAGGCCCTCAATCACTCAACACAGATCATCTAGGCTGGTGATCTACATTGGTAACTAACCTTTTTCGTATTTAATACTAATTTTTGATGTATTTGTTATCGGGTTAACGAATGAATTTCTTTAAACATAATCCACAGTCACTGACCGAATTATAAACTCTTCTAATGCATATTGGTGAGTAATATCTAAATAGCGCTTACTGGTATGCATGTAAACAGTGGATCGCTAATTGTATTATGAAAGTTGTATTTGGATTTTTCTCAGATTTCATATTACTAATTAAAATTTTTCAGTTTCTTTGTAAGTATCATTTGACCAGGTGAAATTCTAGAAGGGTTGGAAAATGAAGTGCACTGTTTTCAAGTAAAACACCTATAAATGCATTATGTTAGCCGCTATTTCATTTACTTATCGAATTTGATACTGACAACGAAGTTTAATCGTTTGTCCCCACAGGTTTTCTGATATGCTACTTATGACATCTGTCAACTAATTGAAAGGCGCAAACCTTTTTAATAATCAAGTCTATGCCGGTTAAGATCTTGGCGAAGTTCCGTATATGGAAGATTACGTGAAGAACCAATTTGCAAGTTAATGGTGACTGTGTTTTACAGTGACTACTGTCACGTCTATTAATCTAATGAATTCTTTGAATATAGATAATAACAACTATACTCAGTCTTGTTAGTATGTTGACTTATAGACCATCGCTGTAATAATACTACTTTGATAGTAGACAGAATCCTAAAACGGCGAATTCGTCGTGATGTGACTGCCTAATCTGTAAGATCTTTCATGGAATTCACATCACTGTCTACACTGACTCATCGTATCGTAACAATTAACAATATGATACTTGGCACTTCTGAATAACACATTTTAGTTGCGGATAGAGTTTAATATTTTATGTGAATAGTGATTGGTAACACATAATGACCACGTGTACAGGGCTTAGCCATGTCATCCGGTTGAATGAATGTTTTTACGTCCATCATTGCCAACCTTCTCCAAGCGTTCCACGTTGAATTTACATATTTTCAAAAATTATACGTTCAGATTCGAAGACCGTGTGGTTAGGAAACAATGCCACTACAATTATCCATCCGAATACATTGTCGTTGTGAAGAAACTTATGAAACGAAGCATTCTAGTGAGATATCTAAATCCATGCAGTACTACAAATTTTCGTGACGCAACGTACTTATAGAGCGAAAACTTAGTTATTTTCAATTTTCACAAACAGTTACCCATTATGATTATTGGTATATCTACCCATGGCTTCGTTGAATCTGTACATATTGTTTGTTTCGTTTTGGTAGTGAAATTGTTGTTATTATGGAAGTTGTCTGTTATTTATCTTCCTTCGACTGCAACGATGATGAACATTTCGTGCCTTAAGGTAACCCTCGTGCTATTGATAGAAGAAACCAGAGAAGTAGGGAATAGGTCTTTATTTGGATCCTCGCGCAGTCACGGTGGAGCGTGGCATTATTTGTTCAGACAAACAAAGCCTCTCAACATTCAATATAAGTTAATAGAAAATATAACGCCTATACAAAATAAGGAAGTGAATGAATACTTGAACGATACTGTTTTGACATGTGCTTGGTTGTTTGGTGTCGACTCTTAACCAACCAACCTATGCTGTTATATTAGCTTCCCCCTAGAATCGACTTCCGTAGGAACGTCTGTTTGATTAACCTAGCCATCAGAAACACCTTAGTTCTGATTTCTCGGCCCAAGGGAAAATTATAAACTCGCTCACTATTTGACTTCCAATCAATGACGACTAATTCCGTCAGCACTCAACGATAGTCCATGGATGTCTCTTCATTTGCTAGCTTGTTATTTTATTTTGTAGTATGTGATTTCTTCTACAACTATCGCTGACGGTTTGCTACTTGCTCTCAAGAGAATGTGTGAGAATGTGGAACAAGAATATCTGAGGAAGTGCCGCAAGCGGGTTACCCAACACCATGTTGGTGAGGTACGATTTTACCATGCTCAGACCGACTATCAGGTGTTTACTCACCTGCCTCTTCAGTCGCCCTCAAGTAAACAGTAAAGAAGAATCTACTTTAAAGGTAATGGTGAAAACCAATTAAACTTCAAGAAATTCTCCACTGTCTGCATAAAATAATAAGATACAAAATGGAAATGCATAAATATAATTGATAATTGTTCGGTTCCACGTAAGTGACTGGCCTCCAGAACGGATTGGTATTCTGGAAGGAAATAGACACAGTGTAGCCATCTTGTGTACGAAAAAGTATGAAAACAAAAAATACTTTTCTATAATGCATATATGTAAAAGTGTAAACTTGCTGGAAGTTTTACTCATTATCAAACCCGATCAAATGTATGACTTATGACGACCGTCTTTTATAACCAGGTACGTTGTAACACCTGTAATCAGCAGTTACTTGAAGGCGAGAAAACCTAAAGCTACAACACACACAATGTTAACTGAACACCTCACACCACAGGGAGAACACGGAATGGAGACCACCAGTCGTTTGTTTTAAAGTTAAAATTCGCGGGTTCTGTACAGAAAAGAGCTAGTTTACAAAACGGTCATATGAGTCGTCCTGTAAGTTTAGTGCATTCAGGACTTGTTCTTCTTTTTCCATAGCATTTATTCTTGCTTGCCCTGCAATAGAAAGAAAACAAAATTTATTAACAATACCATACATGATGATTTCAACCCCGTTATGTCGCTCCCTCTCCTAATGAGGCACTGTTCTCAGTGCCTGATCTTGGGCACGGGTATGCTGTCCCTCCTTCAGATGGTACTTCGTAAAATCTAGTGGCCGGTGGTAGATCGGCGAGTTGAGCATCGAAGGGAAATGTCGTCCGATCGGGTTTTATCTGGTTGTAGTGCACCGTTATCACGTCGTCTTTAGGCCGTTGTATGTTACGCAATACAAACGTGGTGGGCGATCGGATGAGGACAATTTCAAAGGGGCCTTGCCAGGGCTGATGGAAGTTACTGCAACCCCCTAGCGATGTCATTGGGCGGCGTAACCACACGCGATCTCCAACTGTATACCTAGGTCCTTGTGCTTGACGATCATATATATCTTTTTGGTGTCCACTAGCCTTGCATAAGTTAATGTTGACCAGACGGTATGCATCAGCTAGTCGATTGCGAAGAGTACGTATGTACGGAACATGCTCTTGTTCTTCGTAGGGCAGCAGGGGTGACTGTATCTCTACTGGTAAGCGTAATTCGTGCCCAAACAGCAAAATAGCAGGCGAGTACCCCGTGGACCCATGTACTGACGTACGGTATGCTAAAAGGCATTGGAGAAGCACCTCATCCCATAACTCAGGTGACGATCTGCTGACAAACGACTGCAAGATGGCTTTAATAGTTCTGTTTGTTCTTTCCACGAGACCGTTACCTTCTGGGTGATATGCAGTGATGTGTGTCTTCTTGATTCCTAATAGCCGGCATATCTCAGTAATTAGGTGGCTTTCAAAGGATGGACCTTGGTCGGAGTGGAGTGCAACAGGGGCACCATAACGGGCGACCCAATGATCGATGAAAGCTCGGGCAACAGTAAGGGCGTCTTGCAGTAGAATGGGTACAGCTTCGCACCATTTAGTGAAGTAATCCACCATAACCAGTATATAGCGGTTCCCGTTTTTTGTCGTTGTCAGTGGCCCTGCTGTCACCATCGGCGTCATTGTTGCAC